CTGAGGCGGTACTCCGGCCCCGCCAGGAGTACCCACATCACTTGAGCTGGAATTGAGATCATGCGAACCGTCAGCAGAATGCGCCTGGGCGCCGGCAATTGGGGTGGAACCACTGACACCGGTGCCAGGGCTACCGCCACCCTTTGGAATGACGAAACCGCCCGAACCAGGTGAGAAGTCTGTGCTCGAAGCAGCGACAGTAGCTCCAGTCGTTCCGTTTCCGCTTCTTCTTTCAGCACCCACGGCCCAAATGTGGTTTGCTCTAGAGGCGTCAAAGACAGACATTCCGCGAAAGTGGTGCGTTAGCGTATTCTCGGCTGAATCAGGACTGTCGTTGGCCAACGCAAGTTCATCATCTGTGGGGACACAAGCGTTGTGCAGATTTGCTGCAATGGTTAAATCAGCGCCATCATCATCGGTCAGTTCAAAGCCATCAGGCAGATGGGGCGTACCGCGATCAGAATGCGACTGAACCGGCTGACTCCCCTGTTATGGGTGCAGTAAAAGAGCAGTTATAAGGCGAAACAAGTAAGAGGAATTTTTTTTCTTCAGATAACTGAGACGCTTAACCAAATAGATAGACAAGACAATAATAAGCGAAGTAAAAACATTAACTCACAAGAGGTGTGGGCCACTGAGCACCGTAGGGCCCATCGCTGCTCCTGGAATGGTTAGTAAGCGAGTCCGATGTCATGAGGCTTTGAACGTCGGCCTGGAATCCGGGAGGTGGTGCAGAGTCAATCAGTAGGTGATCCACAACAAAATCAGGCGAAACAACTTTGGTTTGTTCATTTAACGTCATTTGCGCAGGCTTCAATATCCAATTAGATACAAATTATGTACAAGGGCCGCGAAGCCGGGCAGGAAAAGGCTGGAAGACGAACATAAGAAAAAGACACAATGAGAAAAAAGGCCAAAACATGCATTTAGGATACCAAGTAGTCAACAAGAAACGCGAGGGAACATGCTATGTTTAGGGGGTACAATGGAGGTCTGATAACGTTGACTACGTATGCGCGTTTATAGAGCTAACATCCAAGAAATATTGGGGTTTGTTTACAGGCGTTGGCAGAAACCACGACAGCCTCGAGACACCGTTTCACCACATAAATCGATCTAAACCTGTAGGCGAGATTAAGCGAGGTTCCTAGCTCCTGCGGACATGAGAACTATCCCAATTTCTGGCTGCATACCATCGTAGGTACTTAGTATACTTAGACAATAGTTTCAGCCATACATTTTTCCTGAACAAATCTTCACGCACTCAGATTTCGAGTTCTGTTCACAATGCTCCTCTATCTAACTTCAGTACTGCACCCTAGTGTAAGATGTAAAACAATATGGAGGGCTCATCGTGTCTACCACCACGTAATCACCGGAAGCCCGACCAAGGAAAGTGACGTATGTATTAATGGACACGACAGACTCGAAATAAGGGCCTAAAACGTGACTAAATGAGGAGGACTGCCTAACGAACCGATTTAAAGCTCGATGGTTCAAGCCTGTAGTTTAGCGAATGGAGAAAAGTACACCGACTTAGTCATTAATAAAAGTACACATTCGCTGCCAGACTTTATGAAAATAACTCGGACGATATAAAGATGACTGAGATTTCTTGAACATGTTCTGTCTTCTGCCAAACAACCTTACTGTTGTTGCTTCTGATTTGATGCCACTGTATACCTGGAGGCAGCGAAGAGTACACGCAGCCTTTTACTGCATAGAAGTGGTTCTAAGAATTTCGTCCTTTGCTGGAAAGGACAATGGGTTGAGTTCTCTGACTCAGCTGTCACAAATCATCACATGTGGAGGTAGAATCCGAGAGAACACCGAAGCCAGTTAGATTAAACATGATAACCGCCGTAGCGAGTACGAGTACAGCTCGTCCGGAAGTCAAGGTACTTTGTACGTGGGTCTTTTAACTCGAGTTAACACGTAGTTGACCAGTAGACGGTTGCTTTTTGACGTTTAGTGTACTGATAGGATGAACGAAGTTATCAACAAAGAAACCTGAGGTAAAGGCCAGTTTAGTTACAGAAAACTGTACAACTAACCCGTTACTCTATTTCACTTTCTTAAGAAACTATTTTTGTCAGCCTAAAAATGAGAGTACAAAATCGCGCAGGCGTGGTCTGTTGCCAGACGTTCGGTAAATGTTGGTGATTAAGTG